GCAGGAATTAGGTAGTTCTTACAGCTCCGTTTCAGAACAAGACTATGTATAGCACAACAGTCTGGTCGATGCAGACTTGTCTAGACAACTGAGCACCGCAGGCATGGTTGTCAATAGGCCTGTAGAAATATACTTACCGTGGCATTTAGACCACTGCTCCCACTTTTTGGAGGAAACAACTTTATATACATGATGCAGAAATAAACCTGGCCAAGACTATAGCTGTTCTACTACCCTGAGCTGTCCAAAAAGGGCAGTAAGCCTCATACTACTGGCTTCATCTCTTGTTCTCTGGAGATCAGACAGAAACCAATTTGTCTTAAGTCCATACAACTAGAACATAAACTGATTAAACAAGAAGTAAAACAGAATCCCTCAAACTAGATATCTGGGTGTCTGCTACTACAGACTGACTGACTGCTGTTAGAGTATGTAAAAATACGTAACTTGTTAGATGGCAATTTCTGCACTAGGCTTTAGGGCACTAAAGACTTGAAATGCATCTCTGCCAACCCCCCTGACACAGATCTGTTCACCCTTCAGAACTGTTTTGCCCAGTAAATTCTGTATGATACAAGGTATAAAGCAGTCTTTAAAAAGTTTTTTTTTTTCTAAAGCAACAACCAGACAGCACAGTGCAGGTGCACAAATTGTAATCCTTCCTGACACTGGTAGCTCTGTAATATTAATGGTAACAGGTAAAATGCTGAATCAAGTATCTCAGCTCAAGTGTGTAAGAACAGGAACAAGATGTAAAACTGAAGGAGTCCAGAGGGCAGGAGGAATCGTCACTCCCACTACTCCCGAATGACCATACATTTCATTTGGAGTGAATTTTTAAGATGTCGGGGGATGAGCTGTGTAATTTTTATTCTTTTGTATTAACCACCTAGTGGCAACATGAAGTCAGTAATAATACAAGGGCGTGCTTTGTTGAAAGATGGCAATCAGCAGTTTCTCTGGGCTGCTTATACAGTGCCGGATAGAAGTAGTTGGTCCTAGGAAGAACTGGCTCATGGCATTCACAGAATCACAGCACATTAGAGATTGGAAGGGACCTCCAGAGATCGAGTCCAACCTCATTCATTTCTGTGATTTTTCCTTCACACAGGCCAGGACATTTTCCTTTACCGAGTCTATAGCAAAGCTGCTCTACGGGCAGCAGTCTCTGCTATCCAAGCTATCTCAAGTGGCAGGTGGCTTTTGAGATGAGTCACCGTTAAAAGCTACTTGGCAGCACTCGTGTTTCTTCGAGAAAATAACTGTACAAGCTACACCGAGCTTCTCGGGGGGGGCGGAAATTTAACTCGGCAGCCAGAGCACCGAGCCCCACGCACACGAGCTCTAGAGTAAGGCCCGGCTACCCCCCACGCCGCCCACCG